AAAAGATTTCAAATTTAACTCCTCTAGTGCGGCCTTTTTTGCGGACCAGCAACTTTCCATTTCTCGGGTTACTGGAGTCGACATCTACAACTGACATACCACACAGCTGCACAGTTAACTTCCCGAACTTCGAGGGCCAGTGTGTGTCACAGGGTTGGCTACTGTGATTTCTTGCGATCTTGCTACAGCACGAAAAGTGCAAAAACGCATTATCGCACCGGCCAGCCTGGTGCGTTCCAGCCTGGGTTTCGGTAGATGCTGTTCGCTAGAAGAATTGAGACCGGCCACCATGACTGTCAGAAAACATCCGCTTAAAATTTCAGCTTTCTAGCTTCTCTGGCCTCGGAGTTAGCAAGTTACTTACGAGAAATTTGGCGAGCTGGGGAAATTTTGGGAATGACGGCCCGTACACGCATGCAGATTAAGTTCCCGAACTTTTGGACCTGTAACTTTTGTAGATCTCGATATGAAAAATGAGTACACACACACACACACACACACACAACCTCTCTACAATATGCATTTTTAATTGCATAGATGCAGAAAACGCAACAAAAATTTGACACTTTCTCTTTTATTGTGAAGAACAGCTCCGAACAGCAATCCAGTGAGATATAGCAACAAGACTTCAGCTCGATCTACGCATGAAAGAAACACCTTTCCATTCTTGTCGGACATAACAAACGTATGTCTTATTTTTTTTTTTTTTGATCCTAATCTCACGCTTCAACCATTAGCCGGTGGGTTTTAATTAGCAGTTCATTCCTGAAATCGGGGCGCAAATAGGAAGTGGCAGGAAAATCGCTAGTTTGGGAATCAGAAAAGCTGCACGGCTGAGCTTTTAAGGAGGTGTTTTCAGCCCACATATAACTTAAAGATTTTAAATTCAGCCTTCGGGTATGCATAGCTCTCACGTGCGGACACATAAAGTTTTTTTGGGGGAAAATTGCTAATTCGGAAACCAGAGAAGCTGGACGGTTGAAATTTTAAGGGGTTGTTCCCCATCCAAGTACGACTTACGGGTTTCAAATTAAGTTTCGAGTTTCAAGTACGACTTACGGCTTGGTGCGTTCCAGCCTGGGTTGCTGCCTGTTGCGGCGCTCTAGCGCTGCACGGCAAAAACGCATAAAAACCAAAACAACTAAGACGCCTTAAAAACAAGCTAATGAGGCGTAACGAACGGAGTGATGGGGCCCATTCTAAAGAGGAAGGGGCTTCACGGGCCCTACGCGGGTGCCTGGAGTACCTTACGCGGGTACCTTACATAAGTACTACGCATAGCTTGAAGCTGAATTTGAAAGCCTATCCTCACTCTCTACCTCTGAAACTGAAGTCTATCCTCACTCCCTACCTCTAAAGCAGTATCTCAGCACCCATTATTCATTATTCCCCAATCACGTCCCCCTATACCCATCTCGTAGAGTAACGTTGCCCAATCCTTGCTGGCAGAGTGCCAGGCTGTTGACAAGCAATGCCGTGAAATAGCATTAGCAGAAAAACGAGAGTTGAAACGAGAAAAAGTTGAGAATTTGAGAGTCGAGAAAGTTGAGAGTTGAGTTGAGAAAGTTGAGAAGTTGAGTTGAGAAAAGTTAAGAAAAACGAGAAAGTTGAAAAAACGAGGAAAACACTCGCTTCCCGAACACACACACACACACAGCCTCTCGACAATACGCGTTTTTGCTGGCTGTAGTAGCGCTGCTATAGCGCTGCACAGCAAAAATGCATATAAAAAATGCGTCACAATTTAGATGAACATGCATCACTGAAATAATTGGCCAACGCACCGGCTGTCTGTGCGATGGTGCGGTTTTTGCACAGTTACCCGCAGTTTTTGTCACTACCGCCATCGGTTTTTTCGGCAGGCCCTTCTGGCTAAACAAATTAAGACTGGCGGCCAAAACTGGCAGGAAACATCCCCTCAAAATTTCAGCCTTCAAGCTGTCCTGGAAAAATTTTTCACGAGCCCGCTCTCGGGTACCACGCATATCCGATGCCTGGGTTTGAGCTCGTTGAGACTTACTTGGACGGGGAGTTTGAGCTTATGAGTTATGAGTTATGAGCTTATGAGTTATAAGCTTCTGAGCTTACCTGAGAACTTTGGCCGACCTGTGCGTCGGTACCCTGCATGACAGCAGTCTGAATCTCACGCGATAAGATTGTTGAGCGTTTGTTGTCTTGTTGCGCCAGATGACTCGCCTCAGCAGCCAGTCGTTCGTCGGTACCCTGCATGACAGCAGTCTGAATCTCACGCGATAAGGGTGTTGAGCGGTTGTTGTCTTGTTGCGCTAGATGACTCGCCTCAGCAGCCAGTCGTTCGGAAGCGTCGTTCACAAAAGAACTTTGACGAAATGCCTGGGCCCGGATGAATCTGCTTCAACAGGCGGTAGATGTCCTTCCTTCGCGCACGTCGCTTCTTGTCAGCACAACGTCGTCGTCAACGTAGAACAAGCGATACAATTATAGCGGGTCACTGCGCCGCTCCAGCTATTTATAATCATCGGCGAGCGTGCAAATTTGCTAGACGCCCACTGTTTCCCGCCAATTTCCCGCCAATTTTGTCGGCTGTGTCCGTGCACATTGTGCAAAAAAAACACACACATACATGCAAAAGGGCCTCTTGCTGTTGGAGGGAAATGGCAGGAAGGGCAAATGATGTGTTTTGCGAGGAGGCTGCTCCCGCACAGTGGACGTGATCTGTTGTTTTGGCGCGTCTTTCCGCTGTCTATAAATAGGGAGTTGTGAACTCACTATCGTCCTCTCAAGGATAATGATCGTGGCAAGTGTGGTAAGGCGAAGTCTTCCGGGAAGGCGAAATCGCGTTCATCTCGTACCGGACTACAATTTCCCGAAGGCCGCATCCACCGCAAGTTGACGAAAGGCGGAGCGGGTGGGCGCAGACGCGCCAGTATACCTGGCTGCTGTGCTCGAATGGTTGGCGGCTGAAGTGCTGGAGCTTGCTGGAAATGCGGCACGCGACAACAAAAGGACGAAGATCAACCGGCGGCACTTGCAGTTGGCCGTGCGCAACGATGAGGAGCTGAATGGGCTGCTGGCCGGAGTGATGATGTTCCAAGGCGGTGTACTGCCGAACATCCAGGCGGTACTTCTTCCTTACACGTATATTCCACAGGCCGAGTACAACCGTGCCAGGCCTTTCGGCCCACACCTGCAGATATCCAGGCCATTGATGTCCACAGTCCAGCTACTAATTTTTTTCTTGTTCCCTTTCTTTCAAAATTGATTGTTAGTGCCACGGCACTGGCCTCGTTCAAGAAATCGACAGACTGAAGAGCGCTGCGCAGAGAATCTCGGCACGTCACAGTTGCAGATTTTGGTGCCTGCACTTGTCGATGTGCATCCGATTGCTGTTTCTCTGTGGAATGTCATTGCCGCTCTTCCAACCCTTCTTTATCGGTAAGAATAATTGTGTGCTTTTTGTATGGCGTTTTTTGTTCCCATTTCAAGAGCTTCCAGTAGCTGCTTGAATACCTAAATGGAATTATGTGACTGGGAAAGGGCCCAAAATCAAAGAA